CCTAAAAACATAGAATAGTAAAACGTTTCAAAAATAGTTAAAATTCAAAATGGAAAATATGGAAATTAATTATTCGGAGGCCTAAACAAAGAAATTTGGTTAAAATCCCGAGATCTCGGGCTTATGCCCCCGAGTCTAATTTTTCGGGCCATTTCCAATCAACAAGCGAAATTTCAGCCCATTCCGACACCATCGCTACAAATGACAAAATTGCTCTTGGCGCGGTCTTTTTTTGTTAATTTTCTGTCCAGCACTTCTTCAAATTCCAAAATTAGTTGTCCTACATCAGCAATACTCATACACCGAGTTGTTGAAAGAGTTGGACAAGGGCTCAATTGAGAATGTTCCTGCTCCGGCCATTGCCATCGACCGCAACCAAACTCAACTCTTTCACGATGTAGTCATGGTGGTTAGAACAGACGAGGCTCACCACCACGATGTTAAGCATTTTGCATCGGTACGCACATTAAACTATATGGCCTGATTATCTAAGCAATTTGGTTTAGATGCTTAAGGCGTATTTGTAATGATTGCAGGACATTCATTATCAGGGACATGAACTTAAGGAAGCCCCAGCCCCAATTGGATCACTGAATGAACTGAAGAACTCTTCCTGGAGAAGTATATGAAACCAATATCTATAGTCAATGATTTTTTAAGGTTAATAGGTTGATGTTGTATCTTGAGTAAGACAACCAAATGTATTTTGAGGTGCTGTGTTTGTTAAGGATTGAGGGAGTGTGGAAAAAATGGAAGTCCAAATCCTTTTGCTGACAGTTTTCTTCTCTTCAGGATTCCGTGTTGGGATGTTTTCGTCCAAGAAACGCGTGAGTCCAATGGAATAGAAATGGTATCGAAAATATGCTATTCTACCTTTCGCAAAATCTACAAGGGGAGGGCCGCAAAGAAGTGCCAAAAGATCATATTTTACGCAGTTCACGTTGCTGGTTAATGTGATTAAAGACTACGAGGTCATTCTCGCATCTATATTTTGCCTAAACGCCGATTTGAGGGCCCTGGAGAAAGAACAACCGTGGCGAATTTTGATGTTATGTTCGTGGGATCTTACGGACTTTGAGACTGCTAAGAGTTCTAAATCTTCTGCCCTCTTCCGTTTCTGCTCAACAAAAATTCTAGTTCCAACCACCTTGTTGAAATTTGCAGAACTCCCTTAATTTTTATATTTCCATCGACAACTGAAATTTTTTAGCATGATATTTGGGCAAAAGGCATTGACCAAAAAACAGTTTCATCAAATGCCAGATTCAGGAAGCATTCTAATGACTGAACCAACCGGTTCGTCGTACCGTCATAATTAACCAACCGTATGACAAAGAAACACGTAAGCTAAACTTAGACAGACCTCGAAACAAGTTGAAGAAAAGACTATTGAAAAACCTTATTTGAAATGTGAAATTAGGCACAAAAATGCTTACATGGACAATAGAATTGCTTTCT